TATAATAAATAGCATCCTCAAACTCCTCTCATTTAGAATAAGAATCTAGTTTATAACCTCAGAACTTTTCATACGAATAGCAATAGCACTTAGACTTATATACCAATTCACAGTGCTTTACAGCCCTCTCTAAGTGGTTTACAGAGTCAGCATATTGCCCCCAACAATCTGGGTCCTCATTTTACCAACCTTGGAAGGATGGAAGGCTGAATCAACTTTGAGCCGGTGAGAATCGAACTGCCGAACTGCTGGCAGCCAGCAGTCAGCAGAATTAGCTGCAGTACCGCATTCTAACCACTGACACCACCACAGCTCTTTAACCTGAATCTTATATGGTACCATGGCTGATGGGCCCAATCTCCTGGACTCCATTTCTGTGATTTTTCATCTAAATATTGCCACTTTTCTTTCATTAGTCTGCCCACGCACAGCGACACACCCAGTGCCCTTCAGCTATGTGGAATTTCGACTTCCAACAACTTATCCTGGATAACTGGTGGCCACCCTGCCTGTGAATGACTAGAAATTTCATTGCACACATCTGGAAGGCACCAGCCTGGGAAGATGTGTTCTGCTTTCAAATTCTGCCATCTGTTTGTTGTTCCTAAAAATACATGATTAATTAAGGGGGGAGAAATCAATGTTCTTAGAGGATGAGTAATAACAATAATGGCAATATTTTATTATGTCATGTGCTTTGTGGGTACTGAAGAGCAGATGTTAAGGGGAAGGAGGTACATCCTTCCCTCTCCAACTCCCCCCAAAATAAGCAGGGCGGAAGATAATTAGTCTTCTATCATAAGCACGATTCATTCCAAGGTTATTTACCCCAGCGCTTAGTCAGCAAATTACATAAAAAGAAAAGGAAAGGGTCAAAATTAGATGAGCACAAATAAATATATGCTGTTATCTATCTTAATATCTATCAATCCCCTGCTAAAACCTTGATTTTAATTACAAAACTTTGCAACAATGTAAATTATTAAAATATCTATCAGGAAGCAGAAAGTTGACATAGAAACAGTCTGATTGTCCAGGAACTCCTGTTCCATGGAAAAAGAAAACGTTGACAGAATTCCATATAATAAAACCCTTAATATAAAAGAAGATGCTTTGTTGGTTCTATCTCTTACGTGCTGCAAGGGAAGAGGTCTGAAAGTTTGCAATATCTACCCTGTAACTGTAGCAAGTGCTCGACTTATGTCCATGGTTGAGCCTGGAATTACAATTGTGAGTCATAAGGCAAAGTATCAAAGGCGCGAACCTGATTTTTAAACTTTTTTTTTGTGGCGGTCATTAAGGAAATATTGTGGTTGTTAAGCAAATCCATTTTACCCATTTTTTTTGTTGGAAACTAGAAGTAAATGCCGAAAACTGGCAGAAAATGTCAAAAATGGTGGTCACAATTCTGCAGGATGATAGACATGTCCATAAGGGTGAGCCAATTGCCAAATGCCCAAAATGTGATCACTTGGTTGTGTGCACGTGGTTGTGGCTTTGGGAGGGGTCCACTATAACTTTATGTGATCATGAAGTGACTGGTCATAAGTCAAAAACTATCTATAGTGGTTAAGGTTCCAGATTAGAAACCAAGAGACCATAAGTTCTAGTCCTGCCTTAGGCACGAATGCCAGCTGGGTGACTTTGGGTCAGTCACTCTCTATCAGCCCTAGGAAGAAGAAGACATGGGCAAACAGCTTCCAAAGATCTTGCATCAAAAGATTTGGGTTTGGTAACCAGCAATTATCCCAAAGGTGATTTTTCAGGAGGCAACTGGACTTTCTGGTTTTTCTTTGAAGATGTTTCGCTTCTCATCCAAGAAGCTTCTTCAGCTCAACGTCTTCAAGGAAAAACACGAAAAGTCCAGTTGCCTCTTGAAAAAGCACCTTTGGGATAACCATGACATGGATGACTCCATAGACTTTTAACCAGAAATTAGTTCAAATTTGGGGCATTAAATTCCAAAATTCAGAAGGGCTTTATCTTTGGCCAGGTTTAATGCCTCCCAAAAGCCGTTTCTACAGTATAGTATGCCATAGCATCCTCTCCAATTTTTTTAGCTACTTTAGGATGTGTTTCTCTTTTTTATTTTATTTAAGTGTGATTTTTGTTTTATTTGCTGGTCTATGACCAAATAAAACCTGATTGATTGATTGATTGATTGATTGATTGATTGACTGAAACTATACCACAGCTCAGTTTAGCCTGATAAAGGTTGGGTAAAATGGTCTGAGAAAGCCCATAAAAAAAGAACTTCATCTTAAGGGACTTCTTGAGAAGAGCACTCCAGCAGACAAGTGATCCATTTAAGCCAATAATGAAATATTACTAGTCTAATTCTGGTTTTTACTCTGATCAGCCCTGTTTCTACCTAAGAGCTGCATTTGAGATACGCTCTGGAGTAGCAAATATGGAGTTACGGAATTTGGGCTGAACAGGTTCCAGAGACTAAAATTAGACTATGGCCTGATAGCTGCTCCAAATAATAGTTGTGTTAAAGCCTTGTGTGTGATGATATCGTAGAATTGATTGGTAGTTCATTGGGCCAGACTACAATGTAATCAGCTCAATTGTCTTGCACAGATCCATCCATGGTCTGCACCAACACCATTTGGATTCTAAACTTACGATCCATGGAACATTTCATGGGAATGTATCTCTAGGCACTAAACAAGAAAAATGAATTCCATCAAAACTACATGGCAAGAATCCTTTTCTCAGAACTACAAGCTGTACAGTTCCCACCAAAATTATCACACAGGATGAATGGCATTTATCAGATATCAGATATGTCCAAGAAAGAATTCAACAAAGCAGAATATAATAATACAGCATTTTTCAATTGTCAAGTGATCTAAAGGGTTCTCACTCACCACCCACGATGAACAGAAAGGAAAAAAAAAAAAAAACCCATAGAGCTGATTCTTTTTTTCCTAGTGTTTATAGATCTGGAATATTTACATCCACATTTTTCACATAATACTTCATGGCAGCGTTCCAGTATAACATGCTTGTCAGAATGGAGGGCAGGGGAGAATATTACTGGATAGCCCTAACTTTTAGATTCTATCTATTTAGATCAAATTATATAATTGTTTTCAACAGAGAGGGAAACCTTATTCCTAACTTAATTCCCCTTTGTAGGAACAACTGTTGTGAGTATGCCATTGTAAGACTGGTTTGCACAAATACGTTATCCTACTATATCAACTAATCTTTGAGATTTACAAAAAGTTGATTCCAGGGTTTTGGAGGGAACCCCACCATGTTATAAACTTTGGCAATCTCATGTACTTTGGGCTGTTTATTTTAACCCCCAAAACATGTTTCCTGCTGGTCTCATGATGTGGACTGAAACAGTAATCCTCCAAAGATTGGGACTCATTCATCCCCAGCTAAAAAAGTCCTTCAGAATGAATTCTGCCTGAAACCCAAAGGAGGCACTGCTCTATGACCATGAATGAACTCATGGTCCAACTATGTGTAAACTGGCTTCATCTGCTCATGTGATTGATGAGGTGAAAAATGATGGTACGTAACCATCAGCAAAGCTAACAGACATTACCAAGGGAGAGTAGAGTGGTGGGAATTTTCCTGTGATTGGCTTGGAGTAGTAGCCAATCTTCAGAGCTCTGTAGGTGGTCCTGCCAATTTCTGGCACTGCAATTATTTATGCCTTGTCCCACCTCCTCAGAGATTTTGTAAACAGATCATCTCTTATTTCATTGTTAATCTCCACTACCCCCCCCCCATGAGGTTCTTAGCAATAGTTCTTCTTCCTCTTAGGAAAGCGTTGCCAAGGCATTGTTTCTCTGGGTCCCATATTAGTTTCCAAAATAACATCTGCGAACAAGGAATCTGGATGGCAAACTCAGAGCAATCTCTTCTCACAGCTGGCTAGCAAGCAAGAAGCAACTAAGGTGCCTCTTTACTAGATGCCTAATCCCATTTGTTTTCCCATTTATCTGATCCACTCTCAAGGCTGTGTATTTGGCTTCTGCTGCTAGCAATTGTCTTTCTGGATATTTTATTGAATCACATTGTCTTCAAATTATACACTTCATGTGCTGCTGCTGGCTGTTTTCAATTTGGCTACTATCAATCCTGAAAGCTTCCAGTCACCGGGCGTGAAGTTGCATCAGTTGCATAGTGAAGTCACTGACGTGCTGAATCTTTTCATTTTTAAATAAAAGTGGCACCCAGAATCTGACAGAAATTGTTATGCTCCTAAGCTTGCTAAAAATATTATTTATTGTGCATTTATTACATTTCCATCCCACCTAAAAGTGGCGTATATTGTTCGCCTCCACTCAGGTTTCACCTCAGAGCCACCCTTGCGAATTAGGTTAGGTTGAAATTAATCTAAAGTTCCTTAGAACAAGGATCTCCAACCCTGGCAACTTTAAGCCTGGCAGACTTCAACTCCCAGAATTCCCTAGTCAGCAAAACTTTTCTGGCTGGGGAATTCTGGGAGTTGAAATCCGCCAGGCTAAAAGTTGCCAGGATTGGAGACCCCTGCCTTAGGATCACCAGGCTAAGTGGCCATTTCAATTTGGCAGATATTCCCAGCCCTGGCTTAGCATATGAAAAAAGTAAACCCCATTGTAGGAAAATCCCACGTGCAACTGACTTCCATAAAGATAAGTTGGATGCCTAGAAAGGGGTTAACGTAACTCTTAAGTAGTTACGCTCCTAATGAATTGCTCAAAGTACCTATCTATTTCAGCGAGGGAGCAACATAAAAGAGGATAATCTAATTTCAAGCTGTCTAGGAAAGTTAAGGCAAACTATCCAAACCAGACGGGAAATCCCAAACACCAGAGAATTGGAGAGAACCAGAAGAATTCTCCCGCTTTTGGGCACTCAAGAGATACTTTATCCAATGCATCATTTGTATAAAAAGCATCCCACCAGGGGAGAAAAAAACAAAACAAAACCTGACTTTGTACAGAGGCAACAGGCTGTTAGTATACATATGTGAAAATGAAAAGAGCACAAACCTCAGCGAGCAGTTGGTCAACCCTTCCCAAAATAGCTGTCTCCATTTGGTCTGCGGAGAGGCAGGCGGCCGGGAGCGGAGTGGATCTGTCCGCCTCCAAATGAGAAACCCTGGACTGCAGATCTGATGTCCTGAAGTACAGCAAGAGGCTCAGCACCAGAGAAAGGAAAGAGATTCCAGGCAGCCCCGAGTTCAGCAGCAGAGGTACCCTACAGCATCTTTCTCCATCTCCTCCCGTCCTGGGAGGCGCGAGGCTTAAACCAGTCTCCAAGCTACCAGGAGCGACCCCTTTCCAGCTCTTCTCTTCTACCACCATTCCTTCCCTGGCCTGAGAGGCAATAAATAAATAAATAACGAACAAATAAATAAAGCAGGGGGCTCTTCCTCTCAGAAGCCCAGGATCCGAGATCCAGGAAAGGGCACCACCATCCAAAAGAAGCTCCCAGAGCCACTGAAGAAAAAGGACAGGTAGCAAACCACAAAAAATAAAAAATAAAAAATGGATGTAGAACCAAGTGGTGGTGGGGAAGGAATGGATGTGTGTGTGTGTGTGTGTGTGTGTGTGTGTGTGTGTGTTTTCCCAAAGAGGGGAGGAAAAAAATTCAAACTTCAGAAAAGTTCTTTTTGAGAAGACAGTTGGATCAAAGTTGCTGTTGTTGCATTTCTCCTTTTAAGCTTCTTTGATTGTTGCTGATTGTCCTCCTCCCTCTCTCTTGGTCAGATCCTGTGTGGAATAAGCAACAGTCGGTGCGTGAAGGTCCCCATTAGAGAGAGGTAATTCTCAACTGATTGCACATTGCAGTGTGACTGTTCCTGATTTCTCTGTAACATGACACTCTCTCTCTCTCTCACACACACACACACACACACTCGCACACACACACATACACACACACTCGCACACGCTGTCTCCGATGAGTTGGCTGCACGCTGTTTCCCAAAGCAAGCTCTCCTGTTCCCTCCGCAATGATTTATTTATTTATGCAAAACCGCTGGGTGGGATTTTGATTCTCTGGCTCCTGCCTACTGCAAAGCCCACCAGTCCCTAAAGTGTCGTTCATCAGTCCTTTGAAGAAGGACTTACTGCAGTCATTTATAGCTGCAAATAAGCCATGGTAAGGATAAAGGGGGCAAGGTTTAGGCTGCAGCAGGTCCCCTTCTTACAATCATGGGCCTGATATCAGGTTAGGTAAAATTACATGGCCACATCTGAATGTTCCTTATCGCCACAGAAGGCTTTAACATCTTCCTTGGCTCCCTGTTCCAGACAGCGTTGAGATTTTAATTTCCTGACACCAATTGAGAAGTAATGAACTTTGGCCAGTGCATCTGCATTTTCAGTCTGATTTACCCCGAATGGTTTGGTCTTTTGTATACTCTGCAATCTTTTGGCACGTTGGCATTTCATACCCATGAGGGAAATTATTAATCCAGACTCCAGCATTTAATGAGCAACACAGAGATGTAGGGTCTGCATTTAGGGGGCTTTCTGCTGAAATCAGCATAAATATAGTTCTCGAATAAATTCTGGGTAAGATTAAGGAACGGATTCTCTGTTATGCTAACCATGTCAGGGTTCACAGGAAGATCCATAATCCTGTTCCAAACATTTCTCTGATCAAAATAATACTGGTAACTGCCAGCCTGCTGACTGATTTTACCGAAGTATAGCCATTGTATGCAGTGGTAGGATTCAAATTTTTTAACAACAGGTTCTGTGGGCATGGGTTAGTGGGTGGGCGTGGCTTTGTGGTCATGTGACTGGGTGGACGTGGCTTAGTGGTCCTGTTACTGGCTGGGCGTGGCCAACTCAACATCACTCACATCGAGGCATGCATCTCCTCGCCTGGCCTCTCGTGACTGTGGGGATGCTGCAACAGTAGTACGTGTGGAAAAGGGTCATAAGTCACTTTTTTCAGTGCCATTGTAACTTTGAATGGTCACTCCACACAAGCAAAGTACCAGCAAAGGAGAGGAAAAAAACTCCAGAGAAGTTCCTGAGACAGGAAGTCTAGGCCTGCCAAGAATGTAATAAGGGTTAACGGAGAGGCAGTTTCTGTAAGCAACACCAGAATGTTTCCTTCCTGCCTTCCTTACAGGATTAGGCCAGTAATTTCTTCTAACAACCGGTTCTCCGAACTGCTTAGAATGTTAACAACCGGTTCGAGCAAATAGGTGCGAACTGGTAGAATCCCACCCCTGATTGTATGCTTGGATAGGAGGAAGATGAATATACTGAATAGAGGAAGCTATTCCATGCGTTAACAGATTTTTAAATGCAATTTATGCAGAGACGTGGTATGACAGATTGTGGAATGTGACATAACCTTGGCACCTTTAACTTTAACTGGGTCCTAGTGCTTAGACCTGGATGGCGAACCTATAGCATGCATACAGAGCCATTTCTGCCTGCATGTGAGAGGTCACCCAGAAGAGCCCCACTGTGCATGTGCCCTCCCCACCAGCTAGCTGATTGTCAGGTATCTGTCGTAGATGCGCTGGGGGGGATGCATGTGGGGAAGGTGTGTGCACATGTGCAGGAGCAGGGCGCACGTGGGAGGGTCACACGTGTATGCGTGGGGCGGGAGGGTCATGCATGCATTGCATCATGGGTGCAGGCATGTGAGCGTGAGCACCAGAGGTGGAATTCAGCAGGTTCTGACCAGTTCTGGAGAACCAGTAGTGGAAATTTTGAGTAGTTCAGAGAACCAGCAAATCCCACCTCTGACTGGAGATTTTACAGTATCCTTCCCCTGCCACACCCACCAAGCCACGGCCACAGAACCAGTAGTAAAAAAATTTGAATCCCACCACCGGCGAGCGCATTTTGGGCACGCAATGTGGAAAAGGTTAGCCATCACTGACTTAGACTAAGTTGAAGCTACACACAAATGGCTTTCCCAATTGCCCACCAAAATTGCGGACACGGAAACTCAGTGAACGGTTTCTCCAAACTTCTCAGGCAGTTCTTCACTTTAGCAGTCACAAAAGCGCCATTACTCCAAAAAAAAAAAAAAAGAACCCTCGAAAGGGGAAGGGGGAGAATTTATTCCTCAGGGTTTCACTTGGGTTTGACAGCAGTCTAAGAGAGCCAGAGAGGCTCCAGACTGCTGGGGAGATGTTTGTAAAAATGAAAGACAGAATGTTCATGTTCAAGCCCTCGGCCACCTCACAATGAAATGCGTGCAGGAACAGCACGTTCCCTTCATCCGGATCTTGGAGAAAACCTCCTCTTTTGAAATAATTGCAATAGCATTGCTTTCCTTTTCTTTTGACAAATGAAATGAAAATGAAAGGAAATGTAGCAGAAGGCAAGGGAAGTAAATCATCACGGAGTTAACTGAAGGAAAACCTCTGTTGCCTACATTATTATTATTTTTTTGGCTTCAGTTTTTATAACTTTGGTGGTCTCCTAAAAAATTAGTTGAGAGATGTCCCCCCAAACATGGAAATATGGGTGGAAATATGGCAGGAAGATAATAATAATAATAATAATAATAATAATAATAATAATAATAATAATAATAATAATAATAATAATAATAATAATAATAATA